TCAGCAAGAGTGAGTGGCAGATTGGTGCAGGAACAGCAGAGAGAGCATACGATATGACAACATCTAGCTTGAGAATGGAGATACAGGCAATCACTCAGGCTCTCAAATGGGTCACAACAACTCGACAAGCACATGTGGTCTTTGTCACAGACTCTCAGATCACTCTGAGGAAGATTCAAAGTGGGGCCATGCTGGAGTCAAGGGCAATGAGCGGGCTGATAAGCACGCTGGGAAAGCAAACCAGGAGGGAAGCTGTGCCCTGACAAACATGAAATTATACAGTTAGTCGAGGAAAAAAGAGAAAAAGAACAAGAAGAGACGGAATATCATCATCTTGAGCGACTTCAAGAGCTTGAAATTGGATGGGGCGCCTGCAGAAATTCAAGACTAAGTGGGAGGAGCAGAAGGCTATGGAATCAACTATTGCTTGGAACCGTCAGCATCTACACACTTCAAGATGTGCTTCTTCAGGGGACGGAGCGCTTATAATATATGGGAATGCCCCTTGTGCAGTGATGTTGGTCCTTCACACAAGTAAACAATTATGTAAAGATAGTGTTGTTTTCAGACTTGACACTGCTTCACTCGGTGGCAATTGACGCTACCTTTAAAAAAATTTTTTAAAAAGGTTCAAGAGGACGCAAATATCACTTGTCCATACAGCCTTTCTCTTTTGACTTTTGGCGTTTCGTTTCCAAGTGTTGTATGTGTTTGTGAGTGCTTGTGTGTGTTTCCAAGCGATTGGCAGATGGCGCAATTCTTGCTTGCTTTGCACAATCTTAAGATCGCACAGCTCTATTCATTTTCAGAAATAATCCGTAGATGGCGCGGCCATCTCAATAATCCGTAGATGGCGCGCCCATCTCGAGATGGCCGCGCTTTCTGCGGATCATCATATATATGGTTCTGCGCCATCTTAAAGATCGCGCTGATCGGCAAATGGCGCTTGACAGTATGTTCTACAGCAAAAATTGGCAGTTTAGCCCTCAAATCAATGCATTTAGATTTAGATCTAGATATCGATTATCTATAGATCTAGACCTACATCTAGAGTCTAGACCTAGATATCTGATCCAGATACCTAGATCTATGTGTGGGTGCACAAATAAGTAAAATTTACCGAATCTACTAGATCTAGATCTGTAACAGTAACTAGATCTAGATCTAGTAATAGTACAGTGGAATCCTGTTATAACGAGAGGGTGGGGACCAGAGTAAAATGTCCGTTATAGCAGGATTCTCGCTATAAGGGGTCCAGCAATAAATTCAAAGAAAACTGTAAAGTAGGCCTAATCTATGAGTTTGGTGTTCTGTTTATTTCCTTTTGCTATCTCCCTCGATGATGATTTTGTTTCAACATGACCTTTAGGTCTTACTTGATCAAAATTTGAATCAGGTTTATCTAGCGCTAGATCTAGCGATGTGGACTGACAGCTCGGCTTTGGCGATCAGAAAGAAAGGGCTCTAGGCTAACTCACACGCTGTTTTCCCCCACCCCACCACATCCTGTGGTGCATTCCGTCAGCTTGCGCACATCACACATTCACTCCATCCACTACAGCAATGTGACCTCTCCATCCCCGCATCGGAGAAGTGAGAGGCATGGTGGGCCTCGATAATCTAAACTAGTTTACGCTGGCTACGCGATGCGTTCTACTTGTCTGCCTGCGCATGTCAAACCCTCCCTACTCAGTCACTCCGGCCTTCATTGTTGACACACATGGGCTCTCCTATTCTTTGTTTCTCTAGATCACCAACAAGTTTCTCAACTGGCGAGGTTTTGCATAATGTATAATTGGCCTATGCACTGTGCACAGCAGCAGCAATATTCCGCTATAACCGACTTGCATGTTTGTCTGATAGCGCTATAGGAGTATCTTATTGGCCGGCACTATTTCTCCGAACGTTCGGGAAAATAAAGCTGGGCACTATTTCTCCGAACACTCTGAAATCACATCCTTTCCGCAAATTTCCGATATTATATAGATCTATAATTATAGTATAGGCCTACCAAAGATTGTTCGTATATACAATATGGTTCAATCGGTCCAAAAAATGTCTGAAGTAAATATCTATAAAGAAACGCTACAGTTCCAAACAGTTTTTCACTATAGATATGACGTGTTGCCTATGAAGGGTGCTGCTCTTAAACTTAATGTGTTGTGTTCACTCGTGTGCTGTCTAGTCTAGATCTACGGAGGGTTAAATAGATAACGACACATAGAACTAGCATAGATATCTGCGTTTGTCGCAGCCGTGACCAATCAATCGTGGCTCGATTTTTTGGCATTTTTTGGTCCCAAAATCGGAGAATAAAAGTCAAATAAAAAAAAATAATAAAAAAAGAAAGAAACCGAACCTTTTTACTTTTGAAAGAAAGTTCACCTAGCTTCACTTCGTCACTTTTTCACTTGTTGTCACCACGTTGATTTGTTGAATACGTTACAGTTACTTTTATTTTTCCCTCTTTGTGGTGTTTTATTTTGTTAGTGTGTATTTTTTTCTTTCTTGTTATTGTTCTGATGTGTTGTTTTTCTATCAATTTTTTTT